GAGCCTGGTGAGATTTGAACTGTCAAATTGCAGGCAGCTGGCCACCAGCACAAGTAGCCTGCAGTATTATTGCATTCTAACCACTACACCACCGTAGCTCATCATCGAAACTATAAAGTGCTGCAAAATGAAATAATATTCGGCACAGAAATACCAGCTGCTTCACTCATCTCAGACAAAGTTCTGGTATTTTCAGCATTCCCTTCAACTCTGCGACCCTTTGTTTTCTTGGGTCTTAAACCTTCTTACACCAAAGCGGCTGAAAATATACCCCTGTGTCCATGCTCTCTTGAAAGGTAGGGAACTCACACAACTGGACTTAAATCAAAGTCTGGTCTCGCTCATCTGTGGGATTATTGCCTTTTAAGAGGCTCCTTTGCATTCCAAGGTTGCCCATTCATGATAATAGTGAGAACTTGTTTTCTATTGTTTGTATACTTGTTTGTATCTATTGAAAATACAAATTCTGTAAATATTAGCTTTTATATCTATTTGGTCAGTTTGGGATAATTGATATTGTAATGCATCTAACAATCCTGGAGGTGTTGGGATTTGCTTGGGTACAGTCTAAATTAGGAGATGAAGGGGAATAAAAAGTGTAGGATTAATCACTGAGATTTCATGAATGGCAGACCTCAATATCATACAGTCTACGGGATTTTACTTTGAAATGTATGAGACTAGACATTACTGTTTAATTGGCTTTTCTTCTTGCCTTTTTTTTTTTTGCAGTGATAGATGAAATGTATCTGGCAGGATCACTCTGGGATAATCAGTCCATGGCCCATGAGTTCCTCTTCCAGACATTCTCCACTGTTCCCGAGATACGACATCTTATTTTCACTTTCTTTCTTTTGATGTACCTCATATTCTGGGAATATTTCCATCCTTTCAATTGTCTACATTGTCAATTCCTTGCACACCCCCATGTATTTCTTCCTGGCTAGCGTCTCTTTTTTGGAGATCTGTTATATCACTGTAATAGTGCCTTAAATGCTTGCTAGCATTTCTGATTTCCACAGAACAATCCCACTGGTGAACTATGCCATCCTGATGTTCTTTTTTACAACTCTAGGGAACACTGACTGCTTTATGTTGTCTGTCATGGCATATGATTGCTACATAGCCATCTGCCACCCACTTCACTACACCCTCATCAAGACTTAGTGGGTTTGCATATGGCTGGTGATTGGCTCCCTGATCTTTTCCATAATGCTGTGTCTGCAGCTAACCACCTTGGTTTTCAGCTTGCCTTTCTGTGGTAACAAACCCAAGATCAATCATTTATTTTGTGATGTACCACCTGTTCTACAGGTGGCATGTGCCGACACCCATCTCCACCAAACTGCGCTGTTTGGTGTTGTCACCATTCTTTTAACAGTTCCATTTGTTCTAATATGCATCTCCTACATCTATATTGTGGCTGCCATTCTTCCAATTAAGTCCTCATCTGGGAGGCACAAAGCCTTCTCTACCTGCTCTTCCCACCTGACAGTTGTATTCCTACAGTATGGTGTCTGCAGCCTTGTGTATCTACGTCCCTAGTCCAGCACTTCAGAGGATGACGATAAAAATTTGGCTCTAATATATACCTTTGTCACTCCCCTCCTGAACCCCTTGATCTATACCCTGAGGAACAAAGATATCAAGCAGGCTTTAAGGAAGGTCATGAAGAAAATGGTTACATCTCAGTCTTAATTCATCTGTAACATTATTACAGTGGTACCTCAGTACTTGTCATTAATTGGTTCCAGGAGGCATGATGAGTACCAAAAATGATAAGTACCAAACAAATTATTCCCATTAGGAATAATATAAATATATTTAATGAGTTCCCAAACCAAAGACAATGTACATGTTTAAGGCAATATGTAAAAAGATAGATTACTTTACATGAGAAACAAATCTAAAAATTAATACATACTTATATTAAATAAAAACTTCACTTTATCTGTACTGATGAAAAAAGATGCAAAAATACACAAAATGACCACAGAAGCTAAGATAAGACTGCAAGGGGATGTGCACAGAGCAAGAGCTACTGCGTGACTAATGTGTCATCCTTTGTTTTAGCTGGAATGGGTAGCGAGTCACAAGGTAATCAGTTGTGATTACTGATGACATTCAGAGCCCTATTAAAATTGGTTATAGCTGTGAGTAAAGGAGAATTGAAATGGTTGATATAATCAGTTCCTGTAGCTACACATTTATGAGAACAAATTTACTTTTAAAAGGAGAAAACTGCAAAGATTAGCTAAGAATATGATAATTGATGTTGTCTAATCTTTCACGTCTTACCATAGTGCTATGTCTGCAGCTAACTGCCTCAATTTTCAACTTGCCTTTCTGTGGTTACCAACCCAAGATCAATCATTTCCTACGTGATGTACCACCTGTGTTACAGCTGGCATTTGCTGACACACAAATTCACCAAACTGTGCTATATAATGTTGGCATCATGGTTTTAACAATTCCCTTTCTCCTGATATGCATCTTGTATGTCTATATTGTGGCTGCCATTCTCCGGATTAAGGCCTTCTCCACCTGCTCCTCCCACCTAATGGTTGTGATTCTACAGTATGGTGTCTGCAGCCTTGTGTATCTGCGTCCCAAGTCCAGTACTTCAGAGGATGACGATAGAAATTTGGCTCTTACATATAACTTTGTCACCCACCTCCTGAACTCCTTGATCTATAACCTGAGGAATAAAGATATCAAGTAGGCTTTAAGAAAGGTCATGAAGAAAATGGTTGCATCTCAGACTTGAATCTGTTGTGTAAAACCAGTTGTGTATTAGCATTATCACAGAAGGAAGTAATCTTGAATCCTTCAGGAAATTGCTGAACATCTTCCAGCATCTCTTAACCCTGGTCATGTTATCTGGGATTCCAAGTTGCATTTTTCACAGTTGTCTATTCCTTATCTGCTTAACTATATGTATTATGGTAGGATTCTATCATTGACCTCAGTCAGCCTGAGATTTTTTAATAATGGACTTCAGGTTATGAGATGATTTTATAGAAGATAACAAAATAAAAGTGTTGAGGTAATTTCCCGTTAGGAGAATGAGCGCATACAGGGAGACATATTTGAGAGTAGTGTTTGAATAATACACATACAGCACACAGATACACTGTACAGTTAATGTAGGTTTTTACTTCCAGAAAGGTTTAAGCAAAGTCCAAAATAAGCAATTCAAAGTCATTCACAAGTTAAATCAGTCAGTTTTCATCCATGGATAATCCAAATATCAAATTCCAGTGTCAAAAACAGTTCAGTATCAGACTTACATTATATCCAGTAATATCAGTCAATTAGAAGAAATGGAGCAATGGCAATACTTTCCAACAGAAGGAAACAGAGATACACTCTCTTCTGAGACTCAGACTAAGACTAAACAACCCAGGTTTCTGGCTCCATCTTATGGCTGTTTGAGAAACCACACCCAATTGCATGCTCTTGCATTCCCTTAAAGATATAGTACTAAAATGTTTATCCTGGTTTATATATTTCTAACCCAAATACCTGTTAGGTGACTTATATTCCTAACAAAAAGCCTTATTCCAGCAATCTGCAATAAGGACAGCAGAAGCACATCAATTGTTGCCCTGACATTGTTCCATCTCAAGCCAGCAGCAGAATGAAGTTTTTATACTTGGGTCATTCCATGTCAAGTGATTTCAGAAAAGTGCCCTGCTTAGCCATCACGGATTTCAATGAAATTTTGTATGACCATGCACACATGTCCCCAATTAACATTGGTAAAGTGTTACATTTGCCGATGCAATTCTTGCAGAGATATAGTCATTTGTTTGACCCCATACTGCAGCCTTCTACAGCATGACTCTGAGGTTTCAGCAACTTTGAGACATAATATCTCTGGCAATACTTTGTTGAGAGAAACAAAAGTTGGCCATCTTGTACAACTTTTTGTACTGTATTAAACACAATAATAAAAACATTCTCATGAGTGATCTCCATCTACATAATTTCAAGCAAAGTTGGCTGAAAATATTGCAGCTCAATAAAAGGTTGAAGTTTGGTTTGTTATATCTCTGGAAGGAAAGGTATGATACATGTGAAACTTTGCGCATAATAACTTAGCAACACAAGATTTTTTAATATAAAATTTCATTCTCCTACTGCTTTCCAATAGTTTACAAATTGAGTATAAAGATGACATTTTTTGTAAAAATGCCCCAAATAGGGTATTTTCAGCCCGCTTTTACAAAAAAAGGCCTTCTGGAAACTCTGTTAAATCATTCTCATTAGAAAGAGCATGTTTCAAACCCCCTAAAAAAGTGTTTTTTCATCGCTGACGTATAAAGCCCTAAAAATAGGGACAAAGTTGAGGATGTTGCTCTGGCAACGTCACGTACGTCAACATATGTTCTTTTATATTATGCCGTTGTAATTTCATTTATGCTGGAGTTTAAAGTGTGTAATTCATTTCTTGCATGTTTAATGAATCTGTTAGTTTACTAGCGGTGCTTCTACACTAATGATAGCGGTTAAATGTGCTGTAAGTACTTTAGTGACACCACACGTTAGGATGTTGCAGCTATAGGATTCTGAACTGTACAGGGGTAATTGTCATATGACTGTCATAACATTAGAACCTTATATAACTTCTGTGTTTCAGATTTTGCAGTAATACACTTTATATTATTGCAAATTTCCATAATATACGAAATGGATGTCAATGAGTCAACTGGCAATCCTAGTTTGCCCAAATGCATTGTTGGAGAAAAATTGTCATCAATATGGTTCATTTTATTCTAATGAAATTGGGGTGCATTACGTGGGACAATTTGTCTGCCGAAGAAAAAATAATCATTATTTGGTAATCGGTGGTTGAGCTCGCAGACGATGACCAAATCTGCTTGCATCCCAAAGTGATGTATCTGAAAAAGTATGACATGAAGCAAAAGTCATGCTGCAACCTATTAGACAAACACAGTCACGTAGCTAAACATGGGCTGTTGAAAGTCGATCTAGCCATGTCCAATGATTTAACAAAAGTGGCAGAAACAAATGTGAAGCCGTGTCAAAAGATTTGTTCCAAGTGTAAAGCCAAATACATTTCCATAGTTCAAAGCACAGCAGTCTCTTCGTCGTTGGATAATTATGAAATGGACATTTTGGACACTGTTAATCGAAGTTTGACTGATTTAGGGACTTCTCTGTTAAAAATTCAGAAGTTGAGCAGTAAGGATAAAACTGGCTATGTGAAACAAAAAATTGAACACGTGCAGAAAGTGGTAGCAGACAAAATAACGTTAGTCACTGGAGTAGCAGCTGAAGATATTGGGCAAATTAGTGAATCTCCTGCTAAGGAATGCCAGTCATGCCAGGATTATGCTGACCTAATCAAAGATATGAAAATTAAAATTAAAATATCTGATAGATTGATAAAAGTTCAATTATTGACTTTGGCCCCAAAGAGTTGGTCGATACTGGTGACAGCAAAAAAGTTTGGTGTTTCAGAATGTTTGGTTAAAACAGCAAGAAAAATAAAGAGAGATGCCAGCCAGGGGTGGGATTTGACAATTTGCTGAACGAGCCATAACATTAGCAACAGGTTTACCCAAACCCGAGTGAACCCAGAGCAGCCCACCTTTGGCAGAGATGCTTCCTAACACCCAGGGATTGAGCTTTTTTATTTATACAGAGCCCACAGATTATTTATTTATTTATTTGATTTGTCAATCGCTTACAAGATAATAGGTATAAGTATATACATAGTTATGAATACATGAAATGGGTACATATAAGAAAAATAAAAGAAACAATAGGACAGGATGGTAGGCACGTTGGTGTGCTTATGCATGTCCCCTACAGACCTCTTAGGAAAGGGGTGAGGTCAATAGTAGACAGTCTAAGGTTAAAGTTTTTGGGGTTTGGGGAAGAAACCCTGTGGTTTCTTCCCCAAAAGTCAAGTAGAGTATTTCAGACGTTGACCACTCTCTTGCTGAAGTCGTATTTCCTGCAATCAAGTTTGGTGCGATTAACCTTGAGTTTGTATCTATTGTGTGCTCTTGTGCTGTTATAGTTGAAGCTGAAGTATTCATTGACATGTAGGACATTGCAATTGTATGATTTTATATACTATACTTAGATCAGACTGAAGGTGACGTAGTTCTAGGTTTTCTAGGTCTAGCATTTTGAGTCTGGTGGCACAAGGTATTCTGCAATGAGTAGAGGAGTGGAGAACTCTTCTTGTGAAATATTTCTGGACTTCTTCAACTGTGCTAATATCAGATACGTAATGTGGGTTCCAGACTGATGAGCCGTATTTGAGTATTAGTCTAGCAAATGTTTTGTATGCTCTAGTTAGTAGTGTGATATTGCCAGAGAAAAAGCTACGTAGGATTAGGTTAACAACTCTTAATGCCTTTTTGACTATGTAGTTACAGTGGGTTCTAACACTTAGATCATTAGAGATGAGTATTCCAAGGTCCTTTACAGAGCTTGGATCATCAACAAGGTCTTGACTATTCAGCTTGTATTTTCTTTTCTGATTTTTTTTGCCAATATGTAAGACAGAACATTTATTTGTTGAGATTTGAAGTTGCCATTTGTTTGACCATTCTAATACATAGTCAAGATCTTTTTGAAGGGTAGCAGTATTGCCTGTGGTATTGAACAGCTTTACATCATCAGTGAAGAGATGCTGTATTTTAACTTTAAGAATGGAAATTAGTATCTTCAAGTCAGTTTCGATTCCTGGCAAATACCTGGACAAGTTCCTGCAGTTTCTTTGACAAAGTTTTCAAAAATGGTTTGCTATTGCCTGCTTCGTAGGGCTGAGAGAGATGGACTGGCACAGAGTTGCTCATGCTTTATATCTAATGCAGGATTAGAACTCACAGTCTCCAGGCTTTTACATGATGCCCTAACCATTATAACAAATTGGATCTTTAACTATGGTTTGTTGAATAAATTATCATTGTCAAATTTGCATATCATGTTTGAACACAAACTATAATTCATAGATTAAATACTTGGACCCAAAAAACAATGCCACCTGACACCAAATAGCCGTGTGGCATCTTTGTTCAATGTGTTTTCCTATTCACATTGACAAGTGTGGAAAGGGCAAGTGCAATTCTTTAAACCAAAGTATTTAAAAATAGAAACTAGAAAGCATGGTTGCCTGAAGCATAGTGACAGTAGAAAATACTTTACTATGAAAGCATAGTAAAGCAGTAGAAAATGCAGAATGTTTAGAAGAGAATAGAACAAACATAACAGAATATACCTTTTTCCTTTAATAGAGATTGAAGCTATTTATATACACATTGAATAGCCACATGCATTTTCAATGCATCTGAAATGTGGCAATATGAGAGTAGTTCCTGGCTATTACTTAATACGAGGAGGAGGAGGAGAGAAGAGCATCCCAATCACCTGATTGTTCAGAAATGATATGAGTGATTGATGAAGTTGATAGCATCTTCTTGATAATGCTTGGCAAAGTTAATTTTGACCATATTGCATTAGCTTCTAGAGCCTTTAAGGTTTTTGAAAGTGTTAGGTGGATCCTGCTAGCTGACTTGGCCACAGTTTGCCCAAAACTTTCTACACCGAATGCTGAAATGAATTTATTGAAGCTTTTGGCCTCTGAAGTTTTTAATTACTTTTTAAGAACTTTATGACACTGGGATTCCTAAGGAGAATTGTTTTTGTTTTTAAATAATAAATACTTGACGTATCTCCTGAGTATAATACCTTGCAAAGAAGATAAGGACTACCCTGATTGGCTGGAAAAACAATAGCTGAGTTAGTGGCTACTTTTGCTTCCATTCTGTATTGATTCAGTGAATTGAGAGGAGCCTGTCTATATTCAATCTAATAAGTAAACTGGATTCATCCCAGAAAAGAACTCACAGACAATCCATCTAGAAAGCTCACCAACCTGCTCATAGACATTTGATAAAATTTCAATCCCCTTTCATCTTTTGAGACAGAAAACATCACCAAGAAGAAGAGAGCCCCACTTTTGTTTTGTAGTCCTGGATCAAAGGCATTTTACGTAAGAGTGCTTTGGTGAGCTTAGCTAGATCCTTTGCCTGCTTCTTTTTTGAGTGGGTGAATTGACTGGACTCTGTTTGGCACTCTTCTGGATTTGAGCCAGATATTTTATTTTATTTATTTTATTTGTTTGTCAAACATGTACAAGATAATAAGTATGAACATAAACAGGAACAAAGGAGGTAAATGGGGACAGTAAGACAGGGACGGTAGGCACGCTAGTGCACTTATACATGCTCCCTTTTTTTTCAAGCTTTATCTAGAAATGTGTGTGTGTGTGTGTGTGCGTGTGCGTGTGCGTGTAGGGGTTTCTTTTGCTTCATTTTCATTCCCTTTTTATTCCTTCTCCTGCATTGGGTTTGCAGTGGGCAGTGAGCAAAAATCGGAAGATTTTTACAGGTGAAAGTTGATTCAATGTTTTTCTTCCCCAAATCAGGATTGATTCTGCTGATATTCAGAACACTCTTCACAATTATGGTCTTGGACTGTAGAATAGAAATGAAAATGTACCAATTCAAGACCATAGTTGGGGTTATTGAAGACATTCGGGGCTCTGTTAAAATAAGTTATAGCAGTGAGAAAGGGAGATTTCACATGGATGATATAATCAGTTTCTGTAGCTATTTGTTTATGAGAGCAGTGATTTAGGAATATATGTGGGATAACTTACAGACTGTATTTGCCTAGAAACAATACTGTTTTTACATCAAATAATTTATCTTTAAAAGGAGAAAGCTGCAAAGATTAACTTAGAATATGACAATGGATGCTGTCTTTCAGAGTGATAGGAGTAGAAACTGTTTTAATTCAGGAATTACTCTCTTTTCAGTAAATGCAATGCTATACTTTTCCTCGTAGATTTTTTTTCAGCTTTGCATTCCTGTTCGTTTAGCCATTTTTTCTTCCATTAGACTTTTCATTTTTCCCTGAAACTTGAACCATAGAAATCAACAATAAAGCTATCATTTTTTAAAAAACAATAGTTAAAATTTTAGATCTCAGCACTTAAAACTATTTTTAATTGAAACACAAAAATTGGCAACTGTTGAAAGTTTTAAATCTATAATATCTATAAATTCCTGAAAACTGTATTGTACGCATAAGCTAGGTCTGTATTCTATAATCACGCTTTTTGCTTTGGGCATGAATGAACCTATCTGGTTTGGGAAGCTAAGCAGGGTTAAGACTGATTAGTATTTTAATGGGATTCCACTAATCAGAATCAAGGCTCAACTAAAAAGTTATAAACATCCAGAAGACAGTGGCAAACCACTTTTACTCCCTTGCTGAGAAACTGACCTGAATATCTCCATGAAATTACCTAGACCTGAGCCCCACTCAAAGGATACATTATTTTTGTGCTGTATGGGCACTGCTAAATCTGAAGGCAGCCTTAAAGTTTATTCAAAGAATAGCAGATAAATAGCAGATAAAGTAAATCCATTTAACAACAGAGATAGACAAACCATAGTAGTGGTTTTCATATTCATATTCATGTTCTAACCTTAAAGTTTTGTAAGAAAAGTAACTCTCTCTATTCAGTGAAACTGTCTTTCAAAAAGAGTGGATCAAACTCTGGCCTTAAGGGCAATCCATTCCATCATACATTCCCCAGCAATTCCCTTCTCCCCCTAAAACCAGCTGTCTTTAGATAATGATTTAATTCATGGATGTTGCTGGTTCCAGAAGAATGCTATTTGCACTTGGCATTCTGGGCCTTTCCCACACTCCAAATATTTGTGCAGAGGGTTGCCTTCTCAACTTCCCCACTTTGTTTCCTTGCTCACAGTGGGCAATGCTGCAATGGATGAAAGCTGGAAGGAGAAAGCATTTGGGTGGGGGGTGGCGGGGGAGAAGGCAATCAAGTATTATATTAAGAACATCAGTAGGACCTGGTTCTTCGATGGAAGTAAGTCTTACGAGAACTGAATCACTAGGACATCAGTCTGGAACCCACATTACGTATCTGATATTAGCACAATTGAGAAAGTCTAGAAATATTTCACAAGAAGAGTTCTCCACTCCTCTACTCATTGTAGAATACCTTATGCCACCAGACTTGAAATTCTAAAACTAGAAAACCTTGAATTACGCCGTCTTCGGTCTGATTTAAGTATGGTATATAAAATCATACATTGCAATGTCCTACCTGTCAATGAATACTTCAGCTTCAACTATAACAACACAAGAGCACACAATAGATACAAACTCAAGGTTAACCGCACCAAACTTGATTGCAGGAAATACGACTTCAGCAACAGAGTGGTCAATGTCTGGAATACTCTACCCAACTCTGTAGTTTCTTCCCCAAACCCCAAAAACTTTAACCTTAGACTGTCTACTATTGACCTCACCCCTTTCCTAAGAGGTCTCTAGGGGGCGTGCATAAGCGCACCAACGTGCCTACCATCCCTGTCCTATTGTTTCTTTTATTTTTATTTTATTTTTCTTATATGTACCCATTTCGTGTATTCATAACTATGTATACACTTATACTTATTATCTTGTAAACAATTGACAAATCAAATAAATAAAATAAAGTGCTGTGAAAAAGAATGCTATACAGGTACAGGAATGCCAGCTGTTTTATTAAATGATCTCAATCAAAGTTGTGTTATTTTCAGCCTATACTTCAACTCTTCCACCCCTTGTTTTCATAGGTCTTAACCTCCTTACATCAGAGCAGCTGAAAATATATTCCTCTCCATGTTTTATTGGGAGATGGGAAACTGGCACAACTGAATTTAAATCAATCCTCTGTGGGACCTGGACTCATTGCCTGCCTTTTAATGTGGTCCCTTGCTTTCAAAGGTTGCCCTATCCAGATATAGTAGGGAGACGCTTGTATCCTATTGATGACACAAATTCCGTAAATATCAGCTTTTGTATCTCCCTGGTCAGTTTTGGACAATTGATATCGTAATACACTTAAAATAATATCCTGAAGTGGAAGTGTTAGAATTTGCTTGGGTAGAGCCTAGTTGTGGGATGAAGGGAAATGAAAAAAAAATCTAGGATTAACCATTAAGGTTTCAATGTATCAGACCTCAATATCATACAGTCCACAGGTTTTTGACTCTGAAACTTATGGAAATATACTGTACATAATTATTTAATTGTTTTTTTTCTTTTTGATAGTGATAGAAGAGATGTATCTGACAATTACAAACTGGAATAATGCCTATGAGTTCCTCTTTCAGCCATTCTCCACTGTTCCCGAGATACAATATCTCATCTTCCCATTCTTTCTTTTGCTCTATCTCATAATTCTTTCTGGTAATATTTCCATCCTTTCAATTATCTATATTGTTAATTCCTTGCACACCCTCATGAATTTCTTCCTGGCCAGCCTCTCTTTTCTGGAAATTTGTTATACCACTATGGTAGTACCTCCAATGCTTGCTAGCATTTCTGATTTCCACAGAAAAATCCCATTGGTGAACTGTGCCCTCCAGATGTTCTTCTTTACATCACTAGGAAGCACTGACTGTTTTATGTTAGCTGTCATGGCGTATGATCGCTACGTAGCCATCTGCCACCCACTTTGCTACACCCTCATCATGACCTGGCGGGTATGCATATGGCTGGTGATTGGCTCCCTGATCCTTGCCATAGTGCTGTGTCTACAGCGAATAGTCTTGATTTTCAACTTGCCTTTCTGTGGTTACCAACCCAAGATCAATCATTTCCTACGTGATGTACCACCTGTGTTATAGCTGGCATGGGCTGACACACAAATTCACCAAACTGTGCTATATAATGTTGGCATCATGGTTTTAACAATTCCCTTTCTTCTGATATGCATCTCGTATGTCTATATTATGGCTGCCATTTTCCAGATTAAGTCCACTTTGGGGAGGCATCAGCCCTTCTCCACCTGCTCCTCCCACCTAACGGTTGTGATTCTACAGTATGGTGTCTGCAGCCTTGTGTATCTGCATCCCAAGTCCAGCACTTCAGAGGATGACGATAGAAATTTGGCTCTTATATATACCTTTGTCACTACCCTCCTGAACTCCTTGATCTATACCCTGAGGAACAAAGATATCAAGCAGGCTTTAAGAAAGGTCATGAAGAAAATGGTTACATCTCAGACTTGAGTCTCAATTCGTCTAACATTATTACAACCTCAAAACCAGTTGTGGATTAGCATTGTCACAAAAGGAAGTAATCTTGAATCCTTCAGGTAATTGCTGAACATCTCGCAGCATCTCTTAATATTGTCCATGTTATCTGGGGTTCTGGGATGTATTTTTGTCTCTATTTTTTATATTATTTTGTCTCTATTTATTAATCAATTACAGTATGGTCTGGAATGGATATCTAATAGATCTGTGTCAGCCTGAGATCTTTTCATAATGGACATCAGATTGAGGAATGATCTTGCAGAAGATATCAAAACAAAAGCCTTATTCCAATATTCTTTGGGACAGTCTTGACCCCATGTGTAGTTAACAGAAATGAATTTCGATATCTGTAGCCAAGTGCAGTATTTATTATTGTTCTTAATATTAATATTATTAACCAAATTTAATAATTAACATATTATTGCTCAAAGCATAGGCAAATTAGGCAGTCACATAAACTACCAGGTTAAAGAAGGTATTAAATTACAAGAAAAATCTCCAACGGAAGAGAATATATTTACCTCAGGGTTGAACTGTGGAGTTTACATTACAGACCATTCAAAAGAGCAAAAAAACCCTAGGGAGGAAATGAAACTACAATAGTCCACATTCAGATAAGCAGAGATCAGCACCAGATAAATAATCAGGCAGAAAACAATAATCTCATCAAGGAATATGAAAAACGTTGAAAAAAATTGTCCTATCACCCATATTTATTTATTCAAATTTATTATAGACTATTGGCAGTGTACAAAATTGAAAAATCCATAAAAACAGATAAAATGTAAAACCACACAGACAGCCCATATTTATAAAGAGCAAAGAACAAACGCATATTTCTTGGTAGGCCTTCTCAGAATGAGGGCCCTGAAAGTACTATATACTTTCAGAAATGAGTACAAATTTTATTAAAAGAAAGACTTCCTTGATCAAGCATACTCTTCAGAGTCCAATTTGTCATTTTTTTCTTCTCTTGCAAATAAAGAATAATGTTTAAGACCCACAATTACCCAATTATAGCTGTACTTAATTATAGCTGTGAAAGATGTATAAATTCCTCACAAAATAGAATCTACATTGAGTTTAAGACCTGGTTATATGTGAAGAACATAATTAGTAAAGATGCACCTGGTACAGATATAACCATTTTTGTAATAATCTAACTAGTATACAACCACCCTGAGAAGTGTCTGTAAATATTCCATGGAGGTATATGAGCTGGGCCATATATCATAAATCATCTAGATTAAACAACTGCACCTTAGGGATTCCACAAAGAACAAGACAGAAAAATCTGGCTGATGTGTCCAGAGATTGATAGCTCTTCAGAGGCAGGTGAACACACATATTCTCAAGAGATCCACTTTCTTCAGCAAGGGACAAGACTTGGCTGTTTTAACCTATCTATGAAGCTCTTTTTCGAGGAAAATTTCCATACCTCTTTTTCCTGATCAAACCTATGACTCTACAATCTTCTCATCTTGGCAGTTCCAATACAAACAGAAATCAGGACAAGAACAGCTGCTACTTATCATCCTTGGTAAGTTGCTCATTTTGCACCATTCCCTATTCTGTTTTCTAATTTTTATTTATTTGCTTATTTATTAAATTTGCCACCCATCTTGTTGTCTGAGGTGACTCTAATGTCTTAAGTTCAATGTCATCATCATCTGCAAGACGGCCTGAGAAATGAGAATACAAACAAGGGTGAAAGTTACCCTTCTATTCACCTGTGGTAGATTTTAATGTACATCCAGTACCTTTGAAGCAAACATAACTATTAATACGTATTTGCAAATGATTTGTCAGGATGAATTAGTTTTCCCATTTTCCAAGTGCCAGTCAGTACATTATGATCTGTAGAGATTCTCAGTCATCCAGGTAATGGCTGTCCCAAAGGTGCTTTTCCAGGAGATAACTGGATTTTCTTGTTTTTCTTTTTTGAAGATGTTTCGCTTCTCAACCAAGAAGCTTCTTCAGCTCTGACAGGATAGTGGGGAATGGAAGGATTTATATTCCTTGGAGACAGCTAGACGTTTGCATCCTTTTAGAGGGTCATTGAAGCACTTGGAGGTTTATCTGTGTCCTCAGCGTCACCTGAGTAGTTCATCTCAATTATAGACTTTTAGCTATAGAATTTGGGATGTACACCCCTTTGAATGGTGTGAGAGTAGGAATGGATTTCCAGAGAAGAAATTGCAGACTACGGGAACCAGGAACACGACTCAGATGACCCTGAGGACACAGATAAACTTCCAAGTGTTTCAACCACCCTCTAAAAGGATGCAAATGTCCAGCTGTCTGCAAGGAATATAAATCCTTCCATTTCCCACTATCCTGTCAGAGCTGAAGAAGCTTCTTGGGTTAGAATGTCATTGCCCAGATCACTGGTTGCCCTCTGCCCTCTTTGGAAGAGCTTTATAGCTCCCACTGCCTTAAGAAAGTTCAAAACATTCTTAGATCCCTCTCATCCTGGGCACCCTTTTTTAAAACTACCATCTGGCAGATGGCACAGAATAATAAAAATAAGCACAAATAGGCTGAAAAACAGCTTCTATCCCAGGGCAGTAGCTCTTTTGAATTCTGCTGTATAGTGCAGTGTTGGTGTGGTGTCGGGAGTTTTCGGTTCAATGTGTGGATTGTTTGTGTTTATTTTCATGGTCATGATGTGCACTGAAGATGGTGTTTGATTTTGTTGTACAAGGTGCAATGACAATAAAGTAAACTAACTAACTAGAAGCAAAACATCTTCAAAAAAGAAAAACAAGAAAGTCCAGTTACCTCCTGAAAAAGCACCTTTGGGAGTACATTATGATCTTAAATAGAAATCACAGATTCATTGTCACCACCACAATTCTATTGAACGACAGATGCCCATATTGTGAAAACATACAATGACATTATTTTCCTAGGATACAGAGAGGAAGTAATGTTTTTTTAAAATCACTGTCTAGCAAAAAAGCATGCTTTGTTAACTCTTGCACAAATGACTTCCTACAAACATGTGACAAACAAGTAACTAGAATACAGCATTAACAGCAATTTCTTTTTTTAAAAAAATCAGCTTTGAGGAAAAAGAATGGAGAACCGAGAATCATAAAGGGTGGTGACTTATCTGAGATACTGGAAAGACTATCCTTGTACTATATATAAAGTCCTTCATGAGTGGCCCTACTCAACAATGGCAACTGCAATCTAGGAGAAGTCTTCTTCTTCCACTGATGTGCTGCATTTTTTTTAATGTTCTCCAGATGAATAGTAGAACTTGCAAAACCAAATAAAATACTTTCTAAATATGTTTTCAAAGAGTTTAAAATGTCAGCTGAATTATTGTTATTCTGCTGTTCTTGCTCTATATCCTGCTTCTGCTTTTTGCTTCTTGTTACTGAAACCAATATTGAGTTTTGTGGGAATTTCAATTAATGCATTTCTTGTGGTGTGAGGTTTCTATGGCCTAGAGCAAAGAAAGCTTTATGGATCTAATTTTTTTGACCTGCTATTTTGATCCAAACTTGTTCCTCCCTTGTGGTTCTTCTGTACTTACAGAATTCCCCACTAAATTATTTTCCATAATTGCACAAAGGAGGAAAAGACAAATTTTTGAGGAGATTACAGACTACACTTCTACCATTTACATCTTTTTCATTACATTCATTCTGCATAATTTGGTTGAGATAGAACCTAAGCTTTTAAGTTGTGATTCTAGATAAATGGGGAAAAACAGAGACGAATTTTTATGAATTCAGGAGTAGAAATTTCCTGACTTGCACATCCCTTTGAAAAGAATTTTCATTACCTGGTTTTGTACGTCTGTTTCAAGCAGGAATGGGGGTTATGCTTATATTTACTGCCAACTGCTATTTATGCCTTAATGGGACATCTAATTAAAACTAAGAGGTCAGGTCACCACTTTGTTCCAAAGAAGTATTTGCTTGATGGTTGACAACATATGACAGATGCTGAAGTACTGATAACTTTACCAGCTTGTGAAGATCTTTCCAAATCAACTATACATGAAGATAAAGCAGTGGTTGTGGTTATGATGATCCTTTAGCTTCCAATTAAATGAGCAAATGAGGTGAAACAGTGAAAAAGTAATGAATTACTGATAATGGAATCCTATATTCCAACTTGTGCAGGATGACCATGTAATTAACAAAAAGAACAGGCAATCTGAAGTGAGTTTTAGCTCTGTATATTAGCCTGTTATTTAGTAAGCAGCACTTTCCCTTTACCTGTTGACCTCCAAATTGTTGGGTTTTAATTTCTATAGCCTCCTTGCACCATGCTAGTTTGATCTCCAACACATTTGGAGGGCAATAGATGGGGGGGAAACTGCTCCAGTATAATGTTAGAAGCGAAATAAAAGAACATTAAGACATTTTCCATGAGCTAACAAGTCTTCACTTCTTCAGGTCTTCATAGTTTCAGCTGTGAACTTATCCCAACTTCATGGGAAATGCTAGAGTTCCTGAATATTCCTCCTTGCATTTAAGATCTATTGCTAGCTGTGGTGGTGAAAATATGCCTCAGTTTTACAACCAATTGTTTTTTCCAGTAGCTGAACACACAGGCAAATTATTGCTGCCTAATACCATCCAGCCATTACTGAGGCAATATAAAGTCTGTCTATATTGCAGTTATTTTGGGATAATGATGGCTGTAGAAGATACTACAATGTACAAGTGGATACACAACATAGCTCTGTGTGGTTGCTAGGGAGAAAGGAAGAAAATACATTTAAAACAATGCCTACAATCAATCACCAGGAACAGAACTTTTAAGGTTGTCAGGGAAGTAGGCTTGAGTTGCAGGGAATAGAGATGGTCCTGAAAAAAGCAGATAATTGTGTGTTCCTATTCAGCAAGCAAGAAACTGCTAGCATTCCCTCCTGCCATCCACAAGACAGTGTCTTTAAAAAAAAATTAGCAGCAACTTGGTCCTTTGGATCAGAGATATCCCTCCCACAGAAT